TAATTACAAATTGCATTTATTTCATAAAAAATCTCATAACATAAAATGTAATAAGATTCTAAAAGTAATAAGATAAAGTTCTTAGTGATTTTATATGCTAAGCGACCTATTTTTCTCTTAGTTATTTCCTGGTGTACGGTTTTTAAATAAAACGAGCGGTTCGAATTTATATAAATATATTAATTTATAACTTTACAGTTCGGTACTATCTTATCAACTAAACTAACTCCTAATTTCGTTACATATATATACCAAAGTATTATGTTCGAGAATATTCGGGAGTAGCCCCACCTCTAATTCGTTATTTGACGGGTGGAATTTTACAGCGCATCGATATATCGCCGAAACTTCTCGGTTCTTCGAGATGCGACCGTTAGGCGGGCCACGCTGAATGCATGTTCGTAACACTGGTAAAAAGTAGGTATATAAGCAGTATGAAGATGCACTTTTAGTTTTAATCTGTTTTGTTTTTGAATAAGCTGTAATACATTATCACTTGTATTGTTATTTTGAACAGATCGGATTTTTCTTTTGAATTACCGAAAAATCCCACCACAGAGTAAGCAATGAGATTGGAATATATAATTTAAAAAGATCCTGAAACTCTCTGAAAATGTTGTAGATATCTGTTAATTATTATTATAGTAACTAATATATTTCGATTTGCAATTTTTAATTTTATCAATTTACTATGGAATCTTACTTTTTTGTGCAATTAAAGTGGAAATTTTAACAAATAGCTCAAAATGTTACATAATGATTAAAAAAAATCGAATTCGAGTTTTTTTGTTATTTGGCATATTCTGAGAAAATTCGCCACAGTAAATATAGTTTTTATATTTTCAGACAGTAGATATTTTAATGAATAGTCTCTTTAATTTTTATTATATTTACTACTTTTCCCAGTGGATTCCAGTTTGCTACTATTTTATTATATTTTACGATTTTCAAAGGCTTCGGTTCTGGTCCATTTGTATTTGTTTATTGTTCAAAGTTGCTTCATCATAATAATATTTCATCATCAACTAGCCTATATTTGTCCAGTGCTGGACGTAGGCATCTCGTAAAAGGTTCCACCAATTTCTATCTTGAGCTTCTTGTATCCAATTTTTATTGATTCACTTTATATCATCTCCTCAGTTTATTCAGATTATCTCGCCTAAGCAAATCTCATGCCTAAGATATTTGTAAGCTATTTCTTGGTAGATGCTATGGCTTTCAATCTGAATTTTTTCGCTGACTGCAAGGTTGGTTAAAAAATTATGTCTTTTAAGTTATTAATTTTAAGACCAATTATTTTTGATGCTTCGTAGAGCGTTTCCAGAATTTTTGTAGCTTTATCAACTCTTTGTTAACATAACGAGATCATCGGCATGTCTTGGGTGGTTTAGATCCTCTCCATTTATATTAATTCCCTTATAACTACCAATATATTAAGTTTTACGTTCGTTTTAATTAAAGTGGTAATACTTATTCCAAGTAAAAGCATTGATAATGGAATTGGCATTCCAAAAACGTTCTGTAATTGTGATGTAGTCCGAAAGGGTTCTTTTTAAATAAATATACCCTTTTATAAAGGATTTTATAAATAAATTTTTTTAATAATTATTTATTTAAATTATTCCGTCCAATAGCATCATTTTTGTTTAACAGCAGAGCTTAGACTCTATAAGTACATCGTACAATGTATCCTATTATTTTTACCTTCTAACTACGACGCAATTGCATTATCCTCTATTCCTCAGAGAGAAAAATTGTCGAGGGATTTTCCCCTTAGCTTGTACCCCAATTACTTTTACAAATGATGAAATCCATTTGTTTCCGAGAACTGCATAGCTTAGATCGAAAGAATGTTGGAATCAAATTACTTAGGGCGGTGATAAATATTCCGGGAATTTAATATTAACAGTATCAGCTTGTTTCGTTATATTAAAAAATTCGGAATATGATGAATGTGCGACTAGATTTAGTCGATATATACCAAATTATGTTCAACGGGCTATGAAGTTTATTTCGCACGAGTCTAAACGAACCAGAATGAACAGATTGCTGTAATTTAGACGAATTGGTAACTGTCAGTGCGTGCTGAATACATCAAAGGACTTTAAAAAGTAGAACTTTTTTCTTTGTACATTTATTGGGTAATTTAAATTAGAATTTAAAGGATGACTGATTACAATGATAATATAATTAACAATATACATGCTGCCGAGATCGGCAACTTATATAAAGTGATCGAAAAAAAATCTAATTTTTTAAGAAAATTAAGTAAAATTTGCATTCAACATAGCTAAAAGCAAAAATTGCCAACTATTACTTTTGTTGTGAATGTCTCTTATCCTGAATAAAAGACGAGGACCAAACTTCTGCATGGTTGATTATGAAAGTCTGATTAATTATTCTTCGTCAAAGCAGGTACAAGAGATCAGTTAATTTTATATTTTTTACAATATATGTTAAAAATTACTAAATTTATGCTATGTCAATTAGTTTAGATCGCTGTTTTAGAAGATCTAAGAACGGTTACTTCTGATTGGTATATAACCGTTTGCTTACCAGATGTTATCGCGAAACTCAGACTAAGTAACACACAACGGCGAATCATCCTCCATCAGGACAATGCAAGTGCTCACACTGCTTAAATGACAATAGAGTTTTTGGAGCTTTACTACATCGTTGTTAAATTGTTAAATTATCCACTGCATAGCCTTGACCTAAGTCTTAACGACTTCTTCACGTTCCAAAAGGTCAAGAATTCAATGCGAGGGCAGCGATTCCAGTAGTCAGAAGAAGTCATCATTTGCAGGTGTCAACTGAAGGCTAAAGTAACTGTTTTAGCAATTGGTTTGAATGTATGCAAAAGTGAATCGGCCTTGGTGGGACATAAAATCAAAAAAGTACGTTAAGTCTATTTATTTTTGTCCTTATGGCATTTATGCATTTATGACAAAAACGTGTCATTTTTTAGCATTTTAAATTTGTGTGTGTCAAAATTTAATTCATAATCTGTTTACGCCTTCTGCACCAGGCAATCCCATGCCTGCGCCTGAGAAACTCCAGCTTCACCCGAAAAACTAGGAATATTCTTTCCCAATTCGGCGAATTTACTTAAAAGTTTAGTGACAAAACTTATCACTTTGGGATTTGATTGATGTTTGACAAAGTTGGACAAATTCATTGAGATATCTTGGAAGGCTTTGACTACTTCTGGATCCTGTAATTCAGCCATAACTTCAGGATCTTGGAACAATTTATAGAGATCACCTGCGTTTCCTATTGGATCAGCATTATCTTTAGGTTCTTCCTTAGCTGCAGCTAATGTTCTCTCCTTCTTCAGCAAATGTTCTTAAATTGTTAAGCATTGGTGTGACTTTTTTAACTATTCATCAATTTTTTATCACAATCTATGTTGCATGCCTGCCTTAAATCTTTAGCAGCCAATGCCCACTCCCTTAACAGTATATATGCTTTTCCTCTAAATTTATATGCAGGGGCAGAATCACAATTCAGCTCTAAGGCTCTTATACAGTCTCTTATGCAAGCAATCTTTTGGTAAACTTTAGATGCTTGGCGCTGCTCTTTGCAAACAATAAAACACTAGTTGGATTGAGTTATATGACCTCTGTGCATAATTCTAAGCGCCTGGGAAACTTCAGCTCCACCCGAAAAACCAGGAATATTCTTTCCCAATTCGGCGAATGTACTTGAAAGTTTAGTGACAAGATTTTTCAGTTTGGGATTAGATTAATATTTGACAAAGTTGGACAAATTCATTAAGATATCTTGAAAGGCTTTGACTACTTCTGGATCCTGCAATTCAGTCAAACTTTGGGATCTTGAAACAATTAATAGAAATCACCTGCGTGTCCTATTGGATCAGCATCATCTTCAGGTTCTTCCTTAGCTGCAGCTAATATTCTCTCCTTCTTCAGCAAATATTCTTCAATTTTTAAGCATTTGGTGTGACTTTTTAACTATTTTTTTATCACAGTCTATGTTGCATGTTTGCCTTAAAACTTTAGCAGCCAATTCCCACTCTCCCAACAGTCTATATGCTCTTCCTTTAAATTTATATGCAGGGACAGAAGGACAATTCAGTTCTAAGACTCTTTTACAGTCTCTGATGCAAGCATTTGGCTTGGTAAGCTTAATATAAGCTTGTTCCCTCTTTGTAAACAATAAAGCACTAGTTGGATTGAGTTATATGGCCTCTGTGAATAATTCTAAGGCTTTTTTAATATAACCTTTAGATAACTCTGAAATAGCTTCTATTCTTTTTTTTTGACAGCTTTGTCTGCAACCTCTTTGGTCAGTTCTTTGGAGGGATCTCCCATTTTTTTATTCTTTATTCGTGTCATCTATAAAATCTGGTTTTACACATCCAGTCATGTCAAACTCCGATTCAGATTCTGGATTAGATTCTATGACTTCTTTCTGCACTGGCTCTTCATTAACTTCATCTAGTTTGATATCCTGAATATGAAATGAAGAGGAGGTTTTCCTGGATTTCTAGGTGGACTTCTAGAAGCAAATACAACTCTACAACCAAAACCTAAACAACCCGACATCGATAATCTACATTAAAGTATTCCTTGTTTTGTTTTAAATAATATTCTAATGATGCTGTGAATTAAATTTTGACTCATATATATATAAAAAAAAATAAAAATAAAAATTTTTATTAAATCATTTATATATCTGCTATGTTACATATTTATAAGCTACCCAATTTTAAGCAATCAATTGAAAATTGGAACTGCGGAGCCGGATAGTGAACCATGCTTTTCTCATTCGAATAAAAACATGTTATATAAATTTTTGCAACGCCAACACGCCTGTAACCTTATTATGCGTGTATTTTATATTTTACTTATATTTTTGAGAATGAGCTACAAATGTAAATAGAAATGTTTTATTTGACTTCTACTAGGAAATCGTTTTCAATATCAAAATTAAAACATTTTACGACAGAATGTATTTTAATATGTAATATATTTTAGGTCAGCCTACGGTAGCACCAACGAATAAAAGCATCACGGCCTTGTATGGACAACCCCTTACAATGACCATGGAATTCTGTGCCAATCCTCCATACACCAAAGCCTTATGGATAGCCAAAGACGTTAAAGTTTATAAACCGGGTGATGGAGATAGTACCATTATGGCTTATGGTATAACGGTAAGTAAATCAACTATAATAATAAATACCTTACTTTTTTCGATGTTATTTACATTATACAAAATATGACTGGTGCAGTTAGGTTAAAGTTGGGTAATATACACCGCTTTAAAATTCGCGTATTATCGTTTCCTGGCACGATGTAAATGGAATGTTATTTGCCTACAACATATTTGCCCCCCTTATTGCACCACACAGACCCGTTCGAGTCAAGTACAGAAATGTAATGTTCGGGACAATATGGTTGATGCGTCGAGCAAAAAGACAAAAGAGCGAATCTAATCGTTGTGAAAAGGATACCAAAAAAATGGCCTCTGATGGCGTACATATCCGGAAATGCAAATGCGCCAAATTTAAATTTCATGACACTTCACAATAATCATACAGTGGTGTAGGGGTTCTAATTTATCTATTTATTTATTTAATATTGCATAATATTAATATTACATAATATTAATACATAATACAATTAAAATACTTTTTTTAACACTAGAACACAATAAAATTTTAATTAAATAATAACGATAATAGTCAAAATGTGAAACAATTGTTAAAAAACTTCAATAGAAAATACAAATAATCTTTCATGTGACAGTTGGGACAAACAAAAACATCAGCAATAACATAACCCAACTAAATTTGATTTCTTAAATAAGGAAAGAGACTCTCTTTCCTTGTTTAATGTGGCCTCTCAAGATCATGTCTAACAATATTTTTGCCCCGTCTACCTTTACATTCCCTCTTTTGTCTTTTTGCTCGATGGGTTGATCGCAAACACGTCATGCATGGTACAATGAATGTGTTTAATGTACCATGACGGTAAAATTGTAGTTGTAAACGTTTAGAAATTACCCTGATAAGAAGCACGCGTTAGACATATTATCATTTTTTTTTCCTTACATGACGCTTTAACCACGCAGGATTATTAGCGTGTATGGATTGTGATACAGAGTTAGAACTTAACAATAAAATATTATCTACTGCAATACATAAATAGAAATAAACCTAAATCTATACAAAGTAAAATATTAGGTTTTTGATATCAGCTTGCAGTCTTTGAAGGCGAAAATATTTTTAGTATCACTGTCTTTTCCAAGAGCACTATTTAATGTTGATGGTATGTTATACATTTTGCGTTGCCCATCGTACTTGGGGCACTGCAATAAACAATGTTTTACCGTTAAGACACTTTTACGTTAAGACCACTTGGGAATGACCATTCTTCAATGTGATTTATGGCTTTTTGTACATGGTTATGAATGGTTGTTAGGTTCTTTGCTCTACAAAGTATAAACAAATCATCTGCATATAGCCTAGCTTTTACAGGATGTTTAATTTTTGCGGTAATAGAATTCATAGCTAAAAGAAACAGAGTAGTGCTAAGGTTCGAGCCCTGTGGTATACCATTTTTGTGATTTTTTGTTGAGGAATATACGCCGTCTACTCTGAGTTGAAATTGACTATTTTTTAATAAGTTTGATATGTATTTGAGTATATTACCTCTTATTTTCCATTCGCTAAGCGTTTTTAAAATTAAATATTTCCAAACTCAATCGTAGGCTTTACTAACGTCGAAAAATATTCCAATACAGTGTTGTTTGATTGCGAAAGCCTCATGTATTTCCGATTCTACATCAATAAGGTTGTCTACAGTAGAACGACGCTTTAGGAAGCCACTTTGTTCTGGTATAATTAGTTTCTTTGATTCCAGGTACCACATGAATCTGTAATTTATTATTTTCTCTAGCATTTTGAACATACTACAAAAGTAAGAGATATTGGCCTATATGTTTCGGGGTCTGATTTTGATTTGCTTTGTTTAGGAATAGAAATTATTATTGAATTTCTCCAAGATTCTGCAAATACATTTTTCGAGAAAATTAGGTTAAACATGTTAAGTATTCTTTAAATGGGTAGATGAGTTTATTTAGAAAAATAGTGGGTATATTATCTGGTCCAGGGCACGAGTTCTTATAGTTTTTCATCACCGGTTCTAATTCATCCATCGATATTGGAAAGTTTATTTCGCTGTCATTTTGATCTTCATGTCTATGGTAGATTTTTCTTTATTTATTTTGTTCTTTAAGAAATTTGGTGAATAGTATGCATCTCTTGAGTTTTTTTTCATGACCTAATGCCAGTATATTTAATATTTTCTTTTGAGATTTATATATTACATTATTTTGCTCTAACAGATTTATCGACATATGTGATTTTGTACCAGACATTCTATTTACTTTTTTCCATACAGTTGTTATTGGAGTAGAACTGTTCATTGTTGAAACGTATGTTATCCAAGATTCGCGCTTTGCTTTTTTAATAGTAAATCTGGCTATAGCTCGTAGTCGTTTGAATTCTAAACAGTTTTGTTCATTTTTCTGTCCTTTGAACTTATTAAACGCTTTTTTTGATTGTTGTATTGCTTGTTTGCATTCATGGTTCCATCAAGGAACTGGATGGAATTTACTGGCAAAGTTAATTTTCCCAATATTTTTATCTGCTGAATCTATTATCAGTTTTGTAATAAAATCTACTTCTTCATTCACATTACTGTTTTGATTTATTACATGCAAGTTATGTTGGATGTGGTTTTGAAATTTCTTCCAATCCGCATTTTTCAAATCCCATTTTACTTCTGGTATAGCTGTATATGATTCTTCGTTATGAATTATAATAGGATAGTGATCACTATCGTATGGCTCCGGTAATACATCCCATGAAAGCATATGAATTATTGATGGTTCGCATATAGATAAGTCAATAGCAGAACCTTCTATTGTTCTACCGAGATTCGTTAATTTTTTTGAACCCCATAAAGGGTTATGTGCGTTGAAGTCTTCGACAATTAGTAGTGGAGTAGGTATTTAATCTAAGAGGTCCGATATTCCGTTATGGTTAAGTTATTGGTTGGGGGGAATGTATATGTTGCACACGGCAAAGGAAGTTACGTCTTTGATTCTGACGTTAATTGCCTCAAGGTTTGTTTTTAATGGTATTGTTGTGTTTTTAATACTACCAATATCGTTCTTTATGTATATCGCTACTCCTCCTCAGGCTATTTTAGCATGTTGTCGATTTTTAAAGAAACAATTAAAGTTTTTCAGTTTATGTACAGTGTTGCTTTTAAAATTAGTTTCTTGTAAACATAGAATCATTGGTCTGTATTTTGAGATTAGTATTTGCAACATTTCTAAATGGGTGTAATACCCATCTAGATTCCATTGAATTAAACTGCTGTATGTTATTATTATGTTAGTATGTGTCTATAGAGTTATCGCTGTCTGCCTCGATATGAAAGTTTGGAACAATTTGTCGAAGAATTTTATTTCTAATTCGGGTGCATCTACTTTTAACTTTTTTGTCATTTAGTTTAGGGTAAATGTTTGTCAGTAGATCTGTGACTTCAGAAATTTCATTGGTATATATTTTTGCGATACTTAATGGGTCCGAAGATCCTGTGCAGTTCTCGAAGAAATCTATTAGTTGTTCATAGTTTAAGGGATAATTGGAATTTTGGTCGCTAAATAATTCTTCTGTTGGTTTCAGCATTTCGTGTAGGGTCTTTTTTGCCTTCATTTCTTGGTTTAATTTTTTCTCTTTCTCTTTGTCTTTTTCTTTTTGTTTTTTGGTAATTCTAATATTTGTTCTGATGATGAAGTTGGGAACGGTGTAGAACGCTCAGAAACTGTGCGTTTTTGTGGTATTGGATCTGTTTCTATTTGATTAGGCTGGAGTTTTGTACTTGGTGTTTTATGTTGCATAGTTTGTTCGTTCAGTTGTTGCATTCATTGATTCTAAATTTTCATTATTTGATTTAAAAATTGCTGTTACAAAAAGCAGACAAAATAATGCTTTCTGTTTCTCTTCATTTTCGTATTTCTGTTTTGCTAAAGTTAGTCTTTCATTGGTCCTCTTTATTGGTTCTTTCATCACATCATTAGTAAAAATACATGGCCAAACACTTGTTGGATTTTTATCTGACAACAATTTTACAGGGCGTCTAAGACCAGGTAAATGTCTTACCAAATCAATTGCTTGGGTGTTGCTGCTGGTTTTCTGTGCAGGCTGCATCGATCATTTGTAGCGATTTCTCCCATAAAACGCCCTTCCTGTCATTTGCAGAATCCAATTATTGTTCACTATGTTCACCCTTAGTGCTATTTTGATCTTTTTTAATAATAGACTCTTGTGGATTTTGTTCAGATTATGAAACCTTTGGAGAAAACAAAAATGGCCGTTTCCTTAACTGCTGCTTTACGAAATGATGGTGCAGATATCCTAAGATCGATTTCAAAGGGTTAAAATCCTAAAAAATTCCTAAAAATGTTACCAGACCTGGTTTACTCGTCTAGACAAACGTTGCGTAGATGACCATCTACAACAAGTCTACAAGACACAACTAAGAAGTAGGATTCAACGAGCAAGTGAAAAAGAAAGTGAATTACAGAAGACTTTACTACTAGCAACACCAAAAGTTTTGGATGAAGCGCTCGCCATTGCCTTAGAGCACTAAATAGCTAGTCAATGAGCAATCGAGTACGAACTTCTGAAGAGAGCGACGAACAAAACGGTAAACTTCTAGAGGAAATTGTACGGAAAGTAGTTCGTAGCACGATGCTGAAGAGACGCGAACCCAGATGTTGAAATAGTGGCGACATAGGTCACATTCGCCTTAAATTGCAAGAAAATAATACAACAGTCAGGAAGCTAAAACATTGTCTTAAATTGGAGGAACGACTGCCCCGTGAGACGAACCACCGTCAGTAATGATAAATGGCAGCCTTAATATCTACAAGACGCCCAAGCAAATGATCTATGTATAAATCGAGTATTGCATCAAAATTAGAAACCTACTTAGCAAGACATTAGTGCATGTACACCAGAAGTCAAGTCTTACGGGAGCCAATGGAATTGCCTAGTACTAAAAGATGATCTTCTGTGTAGAACTTTTAATAACGTTGATGGTACACAATCTAAGCCTTAGTTGATTGTACCTAAAGGTAAAGTGTCAGATGTATTGCGTCAATTGCATAATGGTGCATCAGGGGCACACTTTGGTATTACGAAGACTCTGCAAAAGGTTCGAGAACGGTTCCATTGGATGAACTGTAAAAATTATGTAAGAAGATGATGCCGGAAATGTGAACTGTGTGCAACCAGTAATCGTCCAGTAACTCCAACCTGCCTGATGTTTGGTCGTGATGTTTGCCCTGCGACCTAGAGTTTGGCTGCAGATCTTCCGAAAAACATGTTGCAATCGAAGAATATGTCGACCGCCTGAAGTTAAGAATGAAAAATATTCATGAACTTGCCCGACGTTACATTCAGTTAGCCAGTGACAGAATAAAAGATCAATATGATTCTCGATGCAAAAATAAAAGCTTTAAAGTAGGTGATCTTGTTTGGCTATATAATCTACAAGTTTATCTCCTAAACTGCAAAGACAATGGGAAGGTCAGTATGAAATTAAAAAGAGAATAAATAACGTAATATAGCGAATTAAAAAGTTGCCAAAAGGTAAACCAAAAGTTTTTCACATAAATCGTCTTGCACCATATGCTGGCTCCAATGAAACAGAAGAAGCACAAGCCCTTCAACATGAGATCAAAGGTGACCGGCGAACAAGCTGTAATGAATTTTAATTTTGTCAAATTACGAAAAGAGAAAGAGTGCTAGATACGGCGTGACCAAAAACGTTCAGCAGGATCTTTTTAGTGTTCCGATAATGTTTCTCTAGCTCACTGTATTGCCAAAGACATTGAGATGACTAAAGGAATCTGGTCCGTATTTTATAGAATACGGACGATAGAAGTTTGGTCGTTTGGACGAGTTAAAGAATCAGCAGCCTAAAAGAGAAGAGTAGTGAGATCAGAAGATGGTCCTCGATCTTTGCCGTTTATGGGGACCAGGAAGTCACATACAGATAAGGAAAGCTACGAGGATATATGGCATGCTCTAATTAATTCAATGAAAATTGTGTACAATTATGACATAAATAATTTGGTCTTACCCAAGTTAGGCCATGCACTAGATAATCTGGATTGGAAGATTGTCAGAAGCATACTTGTAGTAATCTTCCGAGAAACCGGTGTACGAATTACTGTGTGTTGCATTAACCCAAAGAGATCGTGTCCTTCAAAGACAGTAGACTGTTATTTCTGTCTGAGAGGTTTATGCAGAGCTGAAGAGTCCTGTAGATTCCGCCATCCTGGGCATTCATTTGAAGTTGCTGATCGGGACGATCAAATCTAAGAGGGGAGCAGTGTAAACAAATAGGCTTATTTTGACGTACCCCATACAACCGTTGCATCTCTCGAGGCAATGATGTGTGTTCGAGGCAGACAGATCAAGGTGAGAATAGAGGTGGACAATTCCAGACTATTAGATAATAACTTGTATATATAAGCTGCGCTGATATTAGTTTATTTAGTTGATAAGATATCATCGTGCTGTAAACTTATAAATAAAGGTATTTACGTAAACTGAAACCGCTCGTTTTATTGGTAGAACGCTATAATATGATTCATATCAACGTAATAATAATATCACGTACTACTATGTTAGAGCAACCACAACTACAAGCTACAACCAAGCGAATTTTTAAATCATACCCTATCATATCTACAATTTTATCAATGGCTCTGTATAATATAAAGCAAAACATTGATATTAATTGTCATCGAATATAGATATTAGTCAACTTGGATGTTTTGCTGAAACATTAACTTCTTGGAAAATGATCATTTTTAACGACCAATGTTTACGCTAAACCTTTGTTTTGTTTTATGTCATATGGATAATACAGATTTATTTGGAACTATAGAAACTGTATTTTATAAGAAATTAATGAAACGTTAATAAACTACTTTTTTATTTTTAGAATTTATCTCAACCAAACTGCCATCAAGCCGTATTATTCTTGACGAAGGTCACTAGCGTAGATATTGGAGAATACAATTTTATAGTAAAATCGCCAAGCGGTATAGCGGATGGCAGTTTTCACGTCAACATGACGTACGCCAGTGGTTACAACGTCCAATTAGAAGAAGATGTGAAAGTAGAGGATAGCACTGACGAGGCCACTCGAATTTCTACATCGTTCTACATAAATGTGATTGTTTTATTAATAATGCATATAATTGTTGTTAACGACTGAATTTATTATGTTAGTTGGTGAACACATACTTTACTTTTATGATTTTAGCGATTTTCATACTAAATAATGATAATGCGTTACAGAATAAATTATGTTTATAATGGTTTATTCTAAAGATAAGTGAAAAATCGAACTAAATTTAATACTAGTGCTCTAATGAGTTTATTAGCATATGCTACATATTTAATTGGTTTTTATTAAGGATGTTTGCAAATCAGTATCAGCATGTGACAGTAAATTTTCTCTGAAAATTATACAACAAATTTACAAATAAATGAGAAAAATTTTGAGAAATGTGTCTTTTGCACCGTTTTTTTTTTATAGAAACAGATAAAAATGACTTAAAAAGATATTGTCTACTTTGTAAAAACTGAATTTATATAATATTTCTTCTTCTAGAGCCGACTCAACTAATGAAAGTTGCCTATAAATATTATAAATTCGTTTCTACTTTCTGCGTTCTCAAAGCGTCTTTGTGTTTAAACATGCCTTTTCGCGAAAGTTTTTCAGCAAGGATATTTGTCTAACTTATATTTGTCTTAATGATAACTGCAACAACTCGTACTTCTCATTTCTAAGTATGTACCGAAAATAAACTGTCGTTCTTCTTTTAATGGTGATCAAAAGATCTCTGTCTATTCCCATTCTGTGCAACAGCATTTTTTTCGTAATATAATCGTTTCACGGTATTTCCAAAATTCTTCTATCAAAAGCTTCCAGCCTTCTCATCAAGTCAACATTAACAGTCCAATCTTGGACACTATAAACAACAATAGACTGGATTTAACATTTTACCATACGATATTGGATTTGTAGAATGAGACTTTGGTTACTTAGACCAGTGTTTCCCAAAGTGGGGGTCGCGACCCCCTGGGGGTCTAAAAGTCCGTAAAAATAAAAGAGAAAAACAAAGTTAAATATCATAATCTTAATGAGAGCTATGCACCTGTTTCTGTGAAACTAATCTTTCAAATCTAGTCTGTATATTTGAGACACACACAATTATATCATTTTCAAATACGAGACTATTTCTAACTCTTGTTTTAATGGCAGTCATAGCCGAGAAACTTAACTCACACAAATATGATGTTACAAATGGCACCAAACATTTTACAGTTTCACTCGCCAACTGGGGGTATTCCTGCATCTTTTCGGTCCAAAATTGGTCCGAGTTCTGGGAAAAAAATTGGAGCTTCAACATTCCATCACTTGATATTTCAATAAGTTTTTCTTTCATATTTATTGGTATTTTAACATGCTGAAAGAAATCGGCCAAAAACGGATTTAGTATCCATTTGCAACTGTCGTAACTGTTTTGAATTTCTTCGGGGAAATAATCACAGAGCTGTTGTTTTAAATTGAGTAAGGTAACATGCATGTCAGCAAAAACTTGTTCAAAATTTGTAGCACTGTAATTGGATACATTTTCCATAATTTCCTGAAGGCACTGGAATTAATCAAGATGTTTTTGCCAAGTAAGGTTGACCATAAATCGATTTTTTCTTAGAAACGCCTTAATTTTATCTGTGGCTGTAAGTATATTAATGTCGCGACCTTGTATATTACTGTTTAAAATATTTAATTGCTCTAAAATATCAGCAAGGAAACCTAGTTTCAGAAGCCAAATAGGATCGGAAAATTGATTTTCATATCAGGACTTCTCATCTTTCAAATACATTAAAAGTTCTGCTCTTAAGTGAAATACTCTTTTTAAGGCGTTGCCCCTTGAAAGCCACCTTACTTCGGTGTGATAGAGAAGACTTTCAAATGAAGCACCCATATCCTCGCAAATTTTTCTAAAAATACGGGTCTGCAAAGCTTTTCCTTTAATGAAATTTACAACTTAATGATGGTTTTCATAACACAGTCCATTTCAGGAGGTAAAGCTTTGGACGCAAGAGCTTCTCGATGTTAAAAACAATGTCTCCATTTGGCATTAGGCATTATTTCTTGTAATTTGATGACAAGACCAGATTCATGTCCTGTCATAGTTTTAGCGCCATCTGTGCATATAACAATACATTTACCTCAGTCAATATCATATTTACTTGTACGTTTCACAAAAGTGTCGAGTAAACATTTTCCAGTGGTATTGGTCTCCAATAGGAAACAAAATAAAATATCTTCTTAAATACCATTATTTGTATCATATCTTACAAACGTAATGAATTGGGCACAGTTAGATATATGTGTGGATTCGTCCATTTGAAGAGAGAAGTACGTGCATTTATTAAGATTTTCCACAACTTGCGCTTGAATATCTTCTGCCATATCACTAATTCTTCTTTGGATAGTATTATTTGACATAGGTATTGTATTTAATTTTGCAGCCTCTCTTTCCCCACACATTATATGTACCATTTCAACAGCTGCTGGAAAAATCAGATTTTCAGCAATTGTGTGCGGATTACTAGTTTTGGCAACACGATAAGCAACTTTATAACTTGCTAATAATGCTTTTTCATTAGTAGTGGTTGCCAAGGGAAAACTGTCTTGCTGTTTATGAAAGACGTTCAGCTTCCTTTCAAAGAATTTTACGGGCTTGTCTTTTTTATCTGGATGTTTGCTATTTAAATGTCGAAGTAACTTTGATGGCTTCACGCTTTTATTTGACAAGACTTGTCCACAAATAACACGTTGTGGTTTATTGGAAATAACGGTAAAACCATATTTAAGATATTCATCAATGTAGAATCTGTTTTTCTTTTTATTGCTGCTACTGCCACTTTTAGACGTAGATGGTTCTGCACTTCTTTTTAAAAACTTATCCATAATTTATAATTTATCGTGGACGTAAATACGTAAACGGGAATACGTAAGTCGTAAAATATTTACTCATTACTCAACACCGCGTTCGCCACCATAGGCTGTTTGGATTCTAACTGAGGTTTCGTTGCGCATCGCCGCTTATATAAAGCGAAAACGAGACTAGAAGAACGTTCCATAGTGCCATCTAGTAGCGAGCGCTTTTGCGATTATCATGGAAGAGTTTTGCGATGAAGACACAAGCTAATATGTCGCGGTGTACAATGTGCAGTCGACTTCTTATTATTTATTTTTATTGTGCTTGCTTTATTGTAAATTCTATTCTGGCAGAAGTACCCACTACTAATTACTAGTGGGACAGATCGCAATCATTAAAATAACTGTATTAAAATAAAATAATTGTTTTTGATTTAAACTTAAACAGTAAAGTAAAATTAAATTTGACAAACCATCGGATAATTGTAAATTAGGTACGCTATTTCTGTCAAATAATATTGAATAAATGAGTGGGGGTCGTGAACAAATTTTTTAGCAAAAAGGGGTCGCGGTTTAGATAAGTTTGGGAAACTCTGATTTAGATATTTCCTCATCTTCAAAAAGGCTGCTCTTGGTTGGTCGATTATTGATAGAATTTCTGATTTTTCATTTAGATCTTCCGTATTTCAGACTCTTAAATACTTCATTTTGTCCACTTGTTCAATATTTTCATTTTTTATATGGATCCGTGTTATGCCTTTACCCCTCTTACTGATAACCATGGTTTTATTTTCTTTATGTTTATTGTTAAACCAAACTGTTGTTCCTCAGTATCACAAATTGTGTTTAGTATCTTCTGCAAGTCTCTCTCTCTTTCAGCGATAATGACTTTATCGTCGGCAAAACAAATGTTACTTATATTTTCACCATTTATCTTAATCCCTTCTATACAGTTTTCGAGTGCTTGTGTACATTTCTCTTCGAAGTATATATTAAATAGTAATGGTGAAAATACACAGCCTTGTCTCACACATCTAGGTATATGATGCGCATCGATGCTATTTCCGTCTAATGTTACCACAGCCTGCTGGTTCCAATAGAGATTTCTTACTATGTTTGTATCATTTGTGTCGAATCCTTTTCGCTTTAGTTAACTTTCTCATAGTCTCTAAATGCGATGAAAAGATCTTTTTGGTGGTCTCGACATTTTTGAGCAAGAGTTGTGAAACTATACAGAGCCTCCACTGTTCCGAAGCCGTTACAAAAGGCAAATTGTCCATTACAAGTTCGGAATATTTATGAACTGTATAAACATTTTAATGTCTCTATAATAGGTTAAATTATACACGTCTTTAGGTGCCAAACCTCTTGTTCTAGCTAAGCTTTTCATCTAGATGCTTCGGTCCTTTCTTCCTTTCTTCTAAATTATGATCTTACTTACGACTATTCTTATGAAGTCAATAAATATTCGGTACTTCTTATTTAATTAATTGACTTACCTTTCATACTTTTACGTTTGTGAATATAGTTTTCGTACGACATAATGTATGCTTTTAAAGTGCTTAATCTTTTTTCTGTTATAAATTAACTTCAATATTATATGTTAACCATACTTAAATATGATGACAAGCTGCACCCTCAAATTTCAGTTTACCCCGGTTATACGAAAAATGACCCCACGTATCTGTCCGCCCTTTTCAATTTTGATTTTACACATCTAAATGAACCAACCCTGCAAGTTGCGGACAAATTCTCGATGACGAGCATCACTCAAAAATTTTGCAAATTCACCCCTGTCCGCCACCTCTTTCACCACTACGGAGCTATCCGCCCCTGGAGATTTTGCTTAGTTACGTTATGATCTACATATTACCAATTTTTGGTGCACTATCTCGATCACAGGGGACACAAAAAAACGTGACGTTCTCTACTTATAACTACGCTCGTCCACCACTCAGTAGCACATGCGAGAAACTCGTGTACACGACTAATCCAATATATCCCCTTATAGTCCATATTCACGATTATGAGCAAATCCGGCTTCAGTTCTTTGACTATTGCTAAACTGCTTTCGCTAAACGAGCGAAAATCAAATCTCAGTTTGGATACCACTTTCTTCTGCCCTTTTGTTATTTTTAAGGCTTTATATTATATTTTTTAACTTCATTCAAAGTTAGTTCCTCGCAAGTCTTTACTTTATCTTCTTACCAATTCTCATTTCCTTCTAGTTCCTCTTATTATTTTGTATTTAACAAGTG